GCATTACATTTTAAAAACCAAATATATTACTGTGAAATTTTAGTCCTCTTTAAAATTATCAAAGTTCAGTTCAATATCACATTATTTTCACATTTGCAAACATTATGAAGACTTATATGGTTGCACTAATCACATTTTAATTCTTGGCATGATTTTATTAAATATTTATACCTTGCTATATCAAAAACCTTGCTAAATCAAAGGGGCCCCAGTCCCAGTTGAGATGTTTTGCATACCCGGCCTCTGCAAAATTATAAGAATTAGTAGAGGTTGATAGCCAGGACTAAAAAAAAGTTTATAATACTTTATATATTAAAATTGTATACTTATATTTACTATTTATTAAATACTAGCATATATTTTTAAACTCTTATTTACTTCCAACAAGTAACCACTATTAAGTTATGAGTTACTTTAAAGTAGAGAATAGGGTTAAAATATTAGGAAATGGACTTAAAGACTTAAAAAATTGTAGGTTGTATATAAAAGGAAAACATGAAGTTGAGTAAGAGTTATAAGGACAGATTAGAAAAAATTCTATTGTATTAAACAACGTTTGTTAGAGAAGATTAAAGTGAGGTATCAGCATGTAGAAAGGTAGCAGCTTCAGAATTAAATTGTAAAGATAGAAGTAAAAAAAAAACTTAAAAAGAGTGCCTTTCATATTGTATGAATAAGGTTTGGTTAATGAAAGAAAATGCTCTAAATTGTTTATATTAGAGAAACAGCATAAATAAGGAAGATTAAAGCCTGATGATGAATGATGATGATGATGACGACGGCAGTGATAATGGCAATAATGATGATGATCATTTTGATCATAATAATGTTTATATATGCATATATATACAAAATATAACATGAATTTTAATTTAAAAAATATAATTTTGGATTTATAAATGTTTATGCAGCCCCAGTCACAAACCCAGCCCCAGCTATATTTTATTAAACCCGACCTTGGTCAAATTACTTTATTAAATACCTTGCTATATCAAACAGTTAATCTGAGAACACTTTATAATCATAAACATGTTTAGATATTTCTCTAACTTGTAGCAGATTACATTCTCTCTTCCAGTGATTTAGGGTTTTTTTTTTATCTCTTTT